GACCATTTAAACACAAGGAAAGGGAACCCCAGGGTTCAAGAAACCTGAAAAAAGGGATGTACCTTTCAAAATAAAACAGGAAATGACATGACGACCATGGAGACGGGACAAAACTCTAGAAAATCCCCCAGACGTGACAGTGGGAGTCTTTTCGGGCGCATTCCGGCAGCCAAAGAGCCGGGCGATCGTCTTTTAATCGCCTTTAACGTTATTTCAAGATTAGCCGAGCGAATGTTAGCCTCCGCAGAGCCTGACTCCGCTTCCTGTTTTTTGTTCCGGCCTGGTTTCAGCTGGGATTTCCAGGGTTTGGATCCAGATTCCTGCGCGGGTCCACCTCCCTCGCTGAGGGCCCGGACACTGACTGAGCTCTAACCTAGACGCTAAAACTAATCAAATTTCTCCTTCCTCCGACATGCAGATCACATGACTGTCCGCGGTCATGTGTGCGCAAACAGCCCCCCAATACCCCCTCCAAAAACACACATCTGCTTATTTTCTGAGCGTCTAATAAAACACGTATAAACAAAACAGTGTTCCATTGAGGACACTGAGCTGGGGGGGTGAAGTTGATCGGGATGAGGGAAGTCCAGATTCCCGTGCCAGCCGGGGGCCCCTGTTTGGACCCTGGCGTTCCGAGGTGTTTCCGGGATCGGAAACGCCGTGCCATTCCTGTTCACATGTCTGAATGTGGTTGGGCTTGTTTTGTTTATCCCATGTGGTGCACACATGGATTAACTCTGTCATGTGACTACCCCCCCCCCCCCCCCCACCCCTCCAGGTCCCTTCTTTGTGTGAGTCATGCGTTTGTGGACGGGGGGAGTGAGATAAAGTGACACAATGGAGGGAGGAAGGGTCTAAACTCCCCAACAGTTTTACGTAACACACTGACAGAATTCCAGATGCCGAGATCGCCGCGTGTGCGTGTATGTGTGTGTGTGTGTTGTCATGTGTAAAGGCTTTTGGGCTGAATGTGTACACTCACTGACCTACATTTCTGGAGCTTTTGGCCCATGGCTTCAGAGGCCTTGTCACTGTTATTTCCATCGAGCCAATCGCATCCTCTTAATCTTATTTGTCCGATCGCGTCCCTGATCTGATCTGTCCGATGGCTCGGGTCTTGCGGGGAGTCGTCCGCAGTCGTAAAAAGCCTCCGTCTTATTGGCCGGGGCATCTTTCGGCCTTGGAAGTTTGAGTGTGACTCGATCTCCCTCTCCGCAGCTCTAGCACAACCTTAATTATTCCCCTCCCGACTTGAAAGGAGAGCCTTATTTCTGTGCATACCGGAGGCTGGAGAGGAGGAAAAAATTGGCTTTTGAAAAGTCTTTGAAGCTTCAGTTTTTGTTATCAAAGCCGCCTTTGTAGGGTGCATGAATTTTGCATGTGCAGGTTGAAGGGAACCTGAGTCCTCATCTGCGGTAAACTGGAAAAGGTTTTTCTTTTTTTGGGAATTCTGCTCATCGGAAAATGGGTCTGAATGTCAGGAGGGAATTTGAGGTTTTAAGAACAAACAGTGCCATTACCATGTGTGTCGGTGGATTTTCCTGTCATATGACAAAGAAAATATAGCTTTCGAATTCCCAGTTCACAGCATTTTCTCCGGCAGAAATCCCATTTTTATGCACGCACACACACGGCCGTATCACAGGATCCGGAATGTTCTGTCGAGCTAAACTTTAGATTTTAAGTAGTCGCGTTAAATGACTGTGAAACAAACGCGCAGCTGCAACAACACACTCTTTTGTTGAGACGTGAACGCAAAAAAAGAAGTCCGATCTTTCCGTGTCGATCCATTTTTTCCGGTCGGGTCCGTGTGGAAAAACAGGGGGCTGGTGTAGATTCATGCGGCATGAAACCCGAGCTGACGCTTGACCTCGCGTTCAGATGGCCGTGTTCGAGCGCGGAGCAAGAGCAACAACGCTCGTGTCATCATCATACATCTAATGGGCTGTAATTGTCTCATATCCTGTGCTCATTAGGGCAAAACAAGATAACCGCTGTATTCAAATGAAACAAACAGGACGGATTCAGGCCCAGCGCATTTCCTCCGGACTGAAACTTATCAAAATGCTGCGGCGGTCCTTGAATCTCTGACCTCCCTCCCGCCGCGGGGTCGTAATGGTGCCGGTGTGGGAGCGCCATATTGTCGTGAGGCCGATCGTAACGATTTTTTTAAAGCTGGAAAAACACATTTCCATGCCGGCCCCGCTTTATCCATCTTGTTTATTTCTGCCACGGCCTCGGGGCGTTCACCTTTAGCGCCGAGAAGTGGCTACACTTGAACCGTGCGTGCGCTAATGTGCGCGTGCACGTGCGCGCGCGCGTGCCCCGTTCAGCTTTTCCCTCCGCCTGCTCGGGGATGCACACCCGTCTCCACGTGCACGGACGGCCGGTCTTTGTCTCTGCCTCCCTTTTCCATCTAATGGAGGATGAGATGGGGGTGGGGGGGGTGGAAGGCGGGGGGGGGGGGGGGATGGGAGGGGGGGGCTCAGGTTGGAAATTACAATATGTATTTGTGTTTCGCTATATGTTGTTGCCTGGCAACAGCGGATGGCTGGTATTTACAGTTAATAAAAAAAGTGAGTGACATTAGCCTGATGTATTAAAGGTAAAGCGCTCATTTACTTTAAGAGCTCGGAAGAAAGACAAGTATGTCAGCGTGTGTGTGTGTGTGTGTGTGTGTGTGTGTGTGTGTGTGTGTGCGCGCGCGCACGTCCTTTGTGTATCATGCAAATTCGACCACCGAGTGGGAAGTGAGTTTTACCTTTTGTGTGTGTTTTTTTTTGTCTTTGTTTTCGTGTGTGACTCTGATGCCTTAAATCAGTGCGTGTTTCCTGAGAGAGGCTTTCTCATCATTGTCTGGACAAAGGCATATTTGTATGTATGCCCCCCACAACATAAAGGCACGTATTTTAGGGTTAGGGTTAGTTCAGGAGGACGCACTGTTCTTCTGAAGAACATTATACAAGCTAGCTTAAAAAGAAAGCTACATGGTGCCTTTCTTCTCGCTGCTGTTGGATGAGACCTGTGAGAGTAATGCACAGGCAGAAAAGGTGCCCTGTGGGAGAAACACTTGGGGGCCACATTTCCCTGAGGGGGGGGGTAATAAAACAGATGCTGACCAACAGCTGAGACGGGGTCCTCTTGTGTTGCTTTTGCTGAGTGACTGTTTTAGTTGGTCCAATGTTCGCTAACATTAAAATCCCGTCTCCTCTTCTTCCGCAGGCTTCGAAAGCATCCTGGAGGGCTTGTTTGGGCCGGGACTAGTTAAGAATATCACCCTTTTCCAAGGTAAATACGCACACCCACAAATAAAAACCCATACCGGCTTTGTCCAGCTCAAAAAGAACTACGAAGAGCTAGCTAAAGAGCAACTAGCAAAAAGAAATCCATCCAATCGTTTCCATCCGGTTACTTTATGGACCGAGTTTTGACAGATGCAAGCCGGGTTTCATCAGACACCCCCCCAAAAAGACCAAAACCATCTTTTCCTGGTGATCCATCCTATCCAGGTCATCGCCATGTCAACAGCACCGCCGCAAAAAAAAAAAAAAACGACTTAGATTTAAAGATCCCGACAGATGTCCCCACGCAGAGCTTTAGCCGCACGCTTTGAGACAGTCTGTTTTTCTGTTTTTCTGCCGTCCGTCGACTAGAGAGAGAGAGAGCGGCTAAATGACTAATCTCTGGAAAGTGTCTGAAATGCTTTGGCGGAGGTATAGCGGGTGTCGGAGCCCGGATGAGCAGAAGGGCGGCCGCCAGCATGGAGCTGTCTGCTCAGCACCAGCTCCTTCCACAGATCAACACCAGCGTGATTCAAATTCAATTTCTAAGGCTTCTGGTTATGAAGGTGGACTCTATGACTCTATGCCGGTAGTCCCTTCCCCCCTCCCCTTATATAAAATGGAAGTGCTCTCCATTTGGGAA